AAATATAATTTTCAATGGCAAAATAAAAAATACACAATAGTGTATTTTCCCATTTCAACCCTCTCTAGGAAAGATTTCCCATCACAACACTCTCACAGCAGCATTAATAAATGTTTTTTGTCATTTACTGACAAGGTAATATAACACAAAGTTTAGAGTCATAAATATGTATTAAAAAAAACACTTTACTAGCTTTGTGATGTTGATAACTGTGGAAATGCATCATCACACTCCATGAAAAGTGTCCGCAGTGAGCCGAATGTGGCAGTAACCGTAGTGTTTGTCATTGTGACAGTGTTCAGCGCAGTGCGGCGGTCGTGGGGTGAGGACCCGTGAGGTGCGCTGCTCCATGGAGGCCAGACTCTGTAACGAATCCACCAGACCGGCCAGCCAGAGAGAGTGTGAGGGCCCGCCTTGTGACCGCAGGTGGACCGTCTCTGACTGGGGGCCGGTGGGTTTCAGAAAACATCCTGTAAAATATCACATAGAAACTTCAAATAGATTGTCCATTAAACATGACATTATGTGTCTTTGTTTCTCCCTCTCTAAGTGCTCAGGGCCGTGTGGGGAGGGCAGGATGAGACGCTACGTGGTGTGTAAGAACAGTAATGGGAAGGTGATTTCAGATGGGCAGTGTGATCCAGAGCTCAAGCCACTGGCGGTGCATCCGTGCGGAGACAAAAACTGCCATGCCCACTGGGTGGAACAAGAGTGGGAACAGGTGAGCTGAACTCCAGTTTATGAATGCTGACTCTTCCCACCCATGTATATCATCATTTATATACTATAATAATATTTATCAATTAGTTTGATTTTAGTTTTAGTGAACGATGATAACACTATTTGTGTAATGAGTTATTTTGTCTTTCCCAGTGTAATGCCACATGTGGCCGTGGGGTGAAGACGCGTCAGGTGGTGTGTGCAGGGTTGGAGGGTGGTGTGTTCAAGGAGTTCCCCGAACGGATGTGTGACGGATCCCTCAGGCCTGCAGATAGTGTGGCATGTTTCGAGAGACCCTGCTCCAAGTGGTTCACCACTTCCTGGTCCCAGGTTTGGAGTGGTTATTATAGTTTAACTGGTGTACAAACTCATGATTAAATTTTATATGTTTCTATCGAATTCAATTTATGCCATATGTAGCATTTTCATTGGGATGTTTACTTATTAGGCTCATCCTGTGACAGTGTAGTTATTTTTATTTATTTATTTTATTTTATTTATTTATTTCAAGCAAAAAGTGTAACAACAGAAAAATATACAATAATAATTATAGTAATAATTTTACTTATACACTTATACATATAAGTGTGTGTGTGTGTGGGGGGGGGGGGGAATGAGAAAAAATATATATGTATTAGGGCTGTGCAAAAATTAATTGCGATTACAAGGAAAATATTTGCTTTTGCACCTTTTTGAAAGTCATCAGTGCAAACAAGCTAGGATTTTCTCTGTAGTTTATTAAAATGTTAGCCAGCCGCTCACGCATGTGTTTGTGTGTATGTCTGTGCCCTGCAGTGCAGTAAGACATGTGGGATTGGAGTGCGTGTGCGAGAGGTCAAGTGTTATCAAGGAGAAGAACTGGGCCATAGCTGTGATTCAACACTGAGACCAGAGGCCAGACAGAGCTGTGACGTTCAGCCCTGCACCACTGAGCCACCAGGTACTGACAGTGGTGGAATGTAACGAAGTACAAATACTTTGTTACTTTACTTAAGTACATTTTTCACGTATCCTTACTTTACTTAAGTAGAATAAATAGCGCATACTTTTTACTTTTACTTCGTTACATTTTGCAGCAATTATTATACTTTCTACTCCACTACATTTCTACAACTTCGGTTACATTTTCATTACATTTTCTGATCAGTTTTTCCCCTGCCAAAACGTAATCTGACCGTCCGTCCGTTGCACGTTTGTCTCACCAGCGACGTTTGGTCGCCATAGAGCCTCCATTTTTGCACTCAGGTCTAAGGCCTATGGCCCTCTATCAGAATCCAGAGTTTCAAGAAGATTGGAGAAACTTATTTTTTCGCACAAAAAAAAAAAAAAACGACAGGGGTAACACTGTCGTTTTTTTTTTTGGGTCGAAATTTTGAGTTTCTCCAATCTTCTTGAAACTCTGGATTCTGATAGAGGGGCATGGGACTTAGACCTGAGTGCAAAAATGGAGGCTCTAGACCCTTCCAGAGCTGAGATATTGAGATACCACGTAGCATTTATGCCATTATAAATATCTCAATTTCTCCGCTCTGGAAGGGTCTAGAGCCGCCATTTTTGCACTCAGGTCTAAGTCCCATGGCCCTCTATCAGAATCCAGAGTTTCAAGAAGATTGGAGAAACTTATTTTTTCGCCCAAAAAAAAAAACTACAGGGGTAACACTGTCGTTTTTTTTTGGGGTCGAAATTTTGAGTTTCTCTGATCTTCTTGAAACTCTGGATTCTGATAGAGGGGCATGGGCCTTAGACCTGAGTGCAAAAATGGAGGCTCTAGATATATCAACCCGGTCACACTAAATGCGTCTCGCACGCAGTGCGTTTATAGTGCAATTTATACGCGAAATTAGTTTTTACATGCATAGGAAACGCACCGTGTGTAATATACGTTTGGTTAGGATTATGGCAAGCCAAGAGGTTCAGAATTACACCATAAATTAATCGCGTTTACTGCCATAGTTATTAACATATAGTAAGGATAAGCATGATGTGTAAATTGCCTAATTGCAAGCTTGTTTCAGAAATGGTGACATTTTTTTTCCCATCATTATTGAACATCATTATAGGATTATTAGGTTGAATGAGTTAGAATTAAATGTTTTATTAATCATTAGAAAATAGACATTAAGAAAATAAATTATGCAAGTACTTTTACTTTTAATACTTAAAGTACATTTAAAATTAGGTACTTTTTACTTTTTACTTAAGTATGGTTGTCATTGTGTTACTTCTACTTTTACTAAAGTAAATATTTATCTGGTTATTTGTATTTTTACTTAAGTACTGAGATTCAGTACTTCCTCCACCACTGGGTACTGTTAAAGAAAACCACAGCACTACAATACAAATAGATTGAGGTTTCCAGACCAGCTTGAGATGGTCTACGCTTGGATACGGACAGCAGATTTTCAACAAGACAGGCCCTGAGAGAACTGAAAAGAAATCCAATCTATCTTTATTTGGAAAGATGTTATGAGGACGCACTCTGGCAAGGCGATTATTTGATCATGCCAGTTTTAAGTAGTTTACGCTGTACCTTTTAATGAAACACAGCAGCGAGTGCATGTTAAAACGCTTGGCTCAATTAAAAGCACATGTGAATCTATCTTGGCACAACACAAGCTAATTCCTGTGAAATTTAGACCAGATTAATGCTTTGTTGTTTTTAAGCTTTGCAGGGCAAGTGCATCATGCATGTTGTCAATTTGGCAGCCAATTTTGTGTTTTTGGACAGCAGTGACATTCCTTGTTCTCAGTCAGAGATTTAGTCGAGAGAACATGGTACAGACCTGCAGTCGCTGATGTTCATCGAGATCTACTTAAAGCACTTTTCTCGACATCTCTGCAAAGACTTGCCTTATGAAGGGGAAGTATGTAATCTCTGTGCAACAAGCCGTACTGCAAAAAGCATGATTGTTTCCAAACAGGTTTCCCAAACACTCCAGCCATTCCACTGTTACATTTTTCCTCTGGGATTTGAATCTTAGCACCGGTTCTATGCTTGTCCTAGTCCCCTTTCTCCTCTTCATTGTTTCTAAAAAAGGTATAAAATGGCAAAGAATATAACTTATACGTTGGTTGGAAATAAAGTCACAATTATGGGAAATGGGGCCTCATTTATACTATTTTCATTTTCATTCTGACGTTGGTTTGGTGAATGCGAATTTTGTCATTGTTTTAGAGCACACTAGCTTATAGATAACAATAAGTTTACCATATTCATACTAAAAGCCCAAAAAACTTTAAATAGGGTTTGGGTGTCAGAAAGCATTGTGGACGTTACTGAGTCTTATTCAATCTCACATTCAATCCCACTACTGGAACTGTGTTCTAGAAATACATTTGATTATTGATATGAACAATTAACAAAATAACTATTGTATTTATTTATAATTCAATTTTATCTTGTTTTTTTACATTATTTTTTTGTAATATTATGTATGCATATATTATATTGCTTTCTCTACTATTACAGTAAACTGATTCATAAATAAGAAGTATAAATTTAAATATTGAAATGTATGTACTTTATGTATTATATAACTCTCTCTCTGCTATTAAACTAGCAAAAAATATTTTATTTATTTATTGCTATTATGATTTTAACATTTAAAAAAATTATAATGATTATGTAATGAATGTAATGATTTATTTAATACAAATGAATGATGTAAAAATCAAGTTTCACATCTTTTATGTCTTTTAAATTAAAATAGTCTGTTTTCTATTTTTCCCTAGCTGAGGATGCTTGTCAGGATAAAGCGACAGCCAACTGTGCCCTTGTCCTGCGGGTGAAGTTGTGCACTCACTGGTACTACAGGAAGGCTTGCTGTCTGTCCTGCAGGAACAAGAGCCAGTAGAGTAGAGTCTGTCTGGCTCTTCACTGTGGCCTGGCAGTTCACGTGAGACCCTCCTCCATATACTGGAAGCACTGAACCCAGAACTTTACCTCTGCCTGTCCATAGTCCAACCCTCCAATCCTCATTGCTGTCACTCTCCCCCTCCTTAAAGAAAGGTGCTATATCAAAAGGGCACTGGCCCTTAAGTGGTCCCAGGAAAGGCAGCTCCTGTAACTGGACTGCGGAGGAGCCATGGGTCTACTGATGATAGAGACACACTGTCCTCTGATCAAACAACTGTACAGGCTCCTCCTGTGTACTGTAGAAGCCTTGCTCTTACATACTTCTAAACACATCGTATGATATATGTATGTACAAAGTTTTTTTCGTTTTGTTTGTATTTTGTGTCCACTTTTGGTCTGGAAGAAGAAATAAAACTAAAGCGGATTTGAGATCTTGGCTGTCTTTATTTCATACATCCAGACTTCACCCATACTGTAAGCATTCATGCGTTTGTAACTAACCTGTAAAAGACACTCTTGCAGAAGTAAAATCAATGAGAGCAAATGTACTGTACTAAGTGGACTCTCAAACTGCTAGAAAATCAAAGCCATATGTCTAACCAAGTTGTTGTTAAAAAATTAAGCCCATTATCATGGTAATGCAATGTCTAATTTCAAGTTTTGTGTGTTTAAGCTTTCAAATCATACCTAATTTATGATGATCTGATAGGAAAAAAAAGTGCAACATGTCCCACTACTGAGACAGACATTTAACAGGATACATAGTCTTAACATTTGATACAAGCTTCACTATATACTGTAAATATAAATATGACAGTAGGGTCAAAAAATATATTACAATTTCAGTAAAATTTCAATTTTCATCATTGAAAAATGTAATATATTTTGAGACCATAAATTTTTTTTTTTAACACCACCATTTTAAACTAAAAGCATATAAAACTGATTTGATTAAAGCTTTTTAAATAATTGCCAGCAGAGGCATAACAAGAAAACACCATGTGAGAAACATTGATGGAATAACGTCAGTTGATCGGTTGGGTGTGGTGACTGTCGGAATGGTTGTGGAGACTGTTGCGTTCGGTGTGGAGACTGTTGCGTTCGGTGGGGAGACCGTCACGTTTGAATGATTTGTTGCCAGAAATCTAACAGAATCACTTTGAACGCCAACCCAGAAGAGAGAGAAATTCTGCACAAATGTTGCCCTGCAAACAAACAATTAAATCAATTTACTTTTGCAAAGACGGCAAAAAAGCGCAGAAAATGAAAATTCTGTCATCATTTACCCACCCTCAAGTTGTTGCAAACCTGTATGAGTTTCTTTCTTCTGCTGAACGCAAAGGAAGATATTTTGAAGAACGATTTGAACTTTGGCACCATTGACTTCCATAGTATTTTTTTTCCTACTATGGAGGTCAATGGTGCCAAACAACTGCTTGGTTCCAATCGTTTTCCAAAATACCTACCTTTGTGTTCAGCAGAAGTAAGAAAGTCATACAGGTTTTCAACAACTTGAGGGTGAGTAAATGATGACAGAATTTTCATTTTTGGGTGGAGTATCCCTTTAAAAATGCTTGAAATATGATTAATCACTTGAAATATGATTAAATTGCTTATCACTTTTGTCCAATAGGTGCCGCTGTAACCAAATTGATGTTTTGCGGTTAGTGTGAGGAGACAATGACATGTACAGAGTCTGGTGTCGATATGCCAAAGCGTTGCATAGATACAGCCTCAGAATCAGCTTGCCAACAATCTTGTTGAAGATTTTTTAAGAACAGTTTGTTCAATCAAAAAGCTTGTAATAACATTTGGCCAGCATAGTCTAAAGATTATCTGAGAATACAAATGTTTTTATTTTTGAAAATTAGAGTTCAGAAAGTAAATTAGAGAGTTAAAGAATCCAGAATTGCCATGGTTAATGTTGAGACTGTCCTTTATCAGTGTGCCAAATTTAGTAATTTTCCCTCAAGCAGTTCTATGAGCTGCCATTGACTCAAGAGCAGAAGAAGAAGAATAAGAAGAAGGAACAACAGATACAATGGGTGCCTACACACCTTTGGTGCTTGGCCTCTAATAAGTTTTACCTGAAGTGAATATCTGTGTTGTTAATGTTGGGAGCTTTCCACTGAGCCACAATAGTTGATTTGACATCATTTGAAGTATGACTGACAGCTGATCCCTGAAAGACAGAGTATGCTGAATCACATCAACGAGTACAATCCTATCTTCATTCCTTCTTTGCTATATGTATGTATCCAGTCACTTTAGGCTATAATTATGTAATGCAAGGCCAAAATGTCTTTACTGAAGGAAGCTTCCCAAAGTCATACAGCTTTGGAATGACATGAGGGTGAATTTAATAATAATAATATATTTACCTCTGTTCCACAGGAGAGTAATTGAGAATTGTTTCCTAGGACTGTGAAAGTTCCTACTGGACCCTTCTCATCCCTGGCCTGAAGAAGAAAGCCCTTGAATCCAGTGTTATTTGCTTGTAGTGTCACTGACAATAAAACAGTGATTTTAACTGTGAACTTGAGGGAAACTGATAATCAAAATAATTTAACTCGATTTTTTTAAGTTTCGTATAATTTAAGTTTAAATTAGTTGTACAGCCAATTTAATTGATTTTTTTATTGTGTTGCTTTAAAGTCATTGCCAGAAATGTTTGGAAAAGTCGTAACACTTTACAATAAGGTTCATTAGTTAACATTAGTGATCTAGTTAACATGAACAAGAATGACCAATACTTCTTCAGCATTAATTAATAGTTAATATTAATTTCACCATTTACTAATACATTATTAAAATCAAAGCAAAGGTTGTATTTGTTAACATTAGTTCTCATGTATCCAGAAAGGAAAGACTGTACCGAGTCTTTCAGTGAGTGGAGGCGTGCCGTGTGGGCGGAGCGAAATAATTACTAGCACGCGCGAAGCTTTTGCGTCTGGAAGCTGTGACCATAGATATCCATAATAAAGGCTTTATTATGGATATCTATGGCTGTGACATCCCAAAACAAACCATGGCTAACAATCACATTCAGCCATACATTTTTGATCCCGAATCAGATCCCGAGGCTGAAATTGAAGATAACGACTACAGCAGGACTACTGCAGGTTGTCTACACCGTGTTGTCGTCTTTCCTGTTGACTTCAATGGGGCATGTTCTAAACCTGCTTTTAGCCTCTTAAAGGGTACATATCATGCTTTTAAATCATTCATTTTTACATATAAATCATACCGTTGTTGTCTAAAACATAACTGCAATGCTTGGGTCTGAATTCCTCATTATTATAGCTCCACAGGCCCCTTTTCTACCCCTTTTCTGATGTGCGTCTTTGAGCGACCCGTTTTAATGCGTCCCCTTTAAATAAAAAGGAGATGCGTCACACCCCACCCGCTCTCCAGGTCGATGAGTTCACGGTCAGTTCAACTCCCCACATTCGGCCATTATTGTAGTTTGATTAGAGATATACGGTTATATACGATACCTTGAAAGAACATTTTTATTCACACTTTAATAAAATGTCGACAACAGAAGACTTGTCCATCAAGCCTTACATATTCGAGCCAGAGCGAGCGAGTCGATAAAGACGACGACGAACCTGCAGAACAACCACTTCTTTGGTGAGTTAACTGTTTTGTGTTATTAGTGAAAGTCGACTATTTCTCTTGTTAAAACAAGCACACTGACAAGATAAATGACTATGGTCTAATCTTACCACAAAAAAAAAAATCTGTATTGACAATATGATACGTTTAGAAAAGCATCAGAAAACAACGCAGCTAAATGACCATTGATGAAACTCAAGAACAATAATAGCCTACTGCAGACGTGTAACGTTACTTCAAAACAAAAACAAAGAAAGACAAAGGTACTGCTGCTAAACCATGACCACCATGTGTTTTAAGAAAGTAAAGTACTTTATCTTTATTAACGATTACAGCTTATCGAAATGCTCTGTTCGTCGTCTCCAAAGATAGAAGGAATTTACCTCTCATTCAGACGAAGTCAATCGGCAAACCCTTCTTTATACTGGTGGAGGTTGTTGAAGTGGGAATCCTTGAAGTGCTTCAGGTCACTAACAACCGAACATTTTGACTTGCCCTCTCGTAACTTCTGCATCATTGAGCTCGGACTACAAAATCGGAGCGAGAAATAATAATGGCGGATTGCTCGAAGTGTTGGACATGTAGTCAATGTCCTTATTTGTCAGTTCCGCTGCAAATACGGCGACGCACTTGCTCAAAAAACGTCATAGACAACAGAAAAATCTGAACAGGTTGAAAAATATGACCAAAACAGAATATAAAGATATAAACGAATCACCTGAAGAGAATAATTTCATCTTTTCTGTACTTATAAACACTCCAAATATACAACAAAATGCATTTAAGGGCTAAAAAAGTGGATTTTGCATGATATGTCCCCTTTAACATCTTTGATTTGTCATTTCGAGTGCACAGCGATGTGAGTGGTGTTATTGAGAGTGACCACAGTGAATCTCTGACTACAGTAGATGTGAAAGATATTAATAAAAATGATGTTAAATTCAGCCAGCTCATATACCTCTATTTGCTTCCTGTTTTCAGTCGAAGCCCACAGTAGTCGATTGTTGAGTTCGCGCGCGATCTTTGGTGAATATCATCTCAAACCTACCACTGTGTGTTGTTCTGAGAATATCAGCTCAAATTGATGGTTCATCCGAATTAGACGTTGAACACACAGAGGAGGTTTGAGATGATATTCACCAATGATCGTGCGTGTGAGATCGACCATCCACTACTGTGGGCTTCGACCGAAAACAGCAAGCAAATAGAGGTATGTGAGCTGGCTGAAGTAAAATCATTTTTATTCATATCTTTCACTGCAGTCAGATTGACCATGGTTATAACACCACTCACATGGCTGTGCGCTCGTAATGAAAAATCAAGGATGTTAAAGGTGCAATGTGTAACAAAGTTGAGTATCTATTAACAGAAATGCAATATGACATCCATAACTATGTTTTCAGTGGTGTATACTGAACTTACTTAATTAGCCGTAATGTTTTTATTACCTTAGAATGAGACATTAATAGCTCCATAACCGAGGGAATCCCCTTCTATGAAGGTCGCCATGTTGTGACGTCATATTCCTACCGTAGCCGAACGCGAACAAACAGCGCTACAGAACGCGTTTCATCACTACCTTGAAAGAGAAGTAGCGGAAAGCTGGAAGCTAGCCTTACACTCCGTGAGTAGTGACTTTTCCCTTGTGAGTGGTGTAAAATATGTAGTTGGGATTGTTTCATGTAACTTAGTTCTCCCTCGCTGTGTTATGGGTTTGTTATGTTGGGGATAGATGTGCTGTTACGTTCGTGAGACAGCTGATGATTAGTATTCATGTCATTGACCGTAAAACAGTACGTTACAGGAATCACTAACCCGTCGATAGAGACTTTTACTAAAGTCTTTTATCACTAAAGTCGATCGCGAAGAATTTTAAAAATCAGAGAAAAAAGCCTATTGTGTGTAGTAAATATCTATGGGATGCGGAGATGACATGATTGTAACAGCGCGCGCACTTCCGACCTTTGGACTCATGCAGACGCGTCCCAGCTCAGCCACAGTAACAGCTCATATTAGCCAGCTAAACTATTACTACCCTGTTAGAAAAAATATATAGCTGCTCCCTCGCTGTATTATGGGTTTGCTACAGTATGTGGGGAGAAATGTGCTGCTGGTTACGTTTGTGAGACAATCAGCTGATTATTATTTTATTAAATTATATATTAAAACCCTTGATCCTCACCTGACTATGGCTTTGTAAACAGACAGTATTCATGATGTGGTTTATAATGGACTGTGGTACAGAAACAGTGACAATGTTACACACTCTTGGCTTACTCTGGCTATTCTCTGCTGTCTCAGCCGACGAGATGTTTGTCCCGTTTTAGCAACCGTAGCTTCTTCCAAAGGGAGGGGTGAGCAGTGGGCTGAGCCCTTAGTGCAAACCTGGTGCAAACTCGCAACCGAACCACTAGATGTCGCTAAAAGTCACACATTGCTCCTTTAAGAGGCTAAAAGAATGTTTAGTACTTGCCCCATTGAAGTCAACAGGGTGCGAATTTTAAAAAGACGATAACACGGTGTAGGCAACACAGATTTTTGTCGTTTTTGTCTGTACTGACAGCACTCCAAATGTATAAATGAGCTCAATGTTAAAATTGACCGGAGTTCTCCTTTAACTAACATTAACAAAGATTAATAAATATTGATCATTGTCAGGTCATGGTAGTTAATACTTTAACTAATGTTAACTAATGAACATTGTAAAGTGTAAGTGGAAAAGTGGTTATTTCTGATATGCAGATTGTGTTTAATGTAATTTATACATGTTTTTATAGATGAATAGGGCTGTCACTAACCTGTGATCACCTGACCATCTGTGTAGTTTGAGGCGTCTGAGGTGACAGTATATGGAGGTTCTAATGTAGAGTTTAAGTTAGTCTCATGTCCAGGAGTCATAGACATGCATGCCAGACTCACCTGTCCATTCTTGAATGCAGTTACAGCATAAAGATTCAGGCCAAAAACCAGGATGAGAAACTGTACATGCATCTAAAACCAGATAAATCAAAAAGTTAGATTTTCAATTTTAATATAGATAACAAATAGAAATATTCCTAATGTCAATTATCAACATTTTAATGAAAACAATAAAGTTAAGTGCACTATTTTTGTACCAATAAATTTGGTTAAAAGTTTTAAGCAAGAGTTACCAACCTTGACAAAACCAAACAGCAATGTTGTGTTGCTTTCCTGAAAATTGTCACTGGTTTGTGTCAGGAAGAGGAGGGATTTATATGTTTTTAATAACAGGAGTGTAAATAAGCAGGCTAGTAAAAAAATCTTTGTTGTTATCGGAAAACAATAAAGAAAAGGGAGTGGATATGTTAGGTGTGACCAAATAAAAGTGGTGAATTGTAAAAAAATAAAAGTGGAAATTTTAATTATGAGGAAGTAAAACATTCACCTCTCTTCTACATGTAAATCTTTACTCTTTCATGTCTTTTGTACTTTTTAAATGTGTAAAAATGGATGAGTGGAGTTGAGTGCTTATCTAAAACTAACAGAGATGTGCATCATAAATTGTATCCACATGACACATTAAATATTTATTATTGGACAAAATTCTTGAAATGATAAGAAGTCTGATTTATTACATGTAAATCGTTTGCCAGGTTTCTTGACCCACTTTCAGTCATGTAAAAAAAAGCAAAAAAAAAAAAAAAAAAAAAAAACGCCTACAGTATATTAGCTTCTAAGAACAATTATACCGTATCATGACTCCATCCAAACCCTCAATGCCAGGCTCCTCAGCTCCACCCACTCGTTTTTTTTTTGTTTTGTTTTTTTTCCTGGAATACTAACCATCTGCACCTGCTGTCACCAATCAGGAACTCTTATTTAAACCACTTTCACACTCACACCATTATCTGGTGTATAAAGTTTTAGGAAATATATAATAACAACTATTTCTTTGAAAATATATTCTCTATTTTTATTAAAAATAAAAATACATTTTAAGATACTCAGCATAAATAAAAATTTGACTTGTTTAAATATAGATTAAATCAAATTAAGAGTAAATGTCCCAATCACAACCGAAATAAATTTACATGGGAAAACTAGAACACAATATAAAGTTGTGACACACATTACGCATGCACAATCACAAATGCAAAAGAGTCTTTACACCCACATGAAATTAATTCTGTATTCAGTCTGTTTTTATGGGATAGAATTGTCCTGACTGTCAATAATAAAGAGCCTTCATATCACTGCTGTTTCTGGAGGAGCAAACTTCTCACTTCTCACAAACTTCTTCGTACATATTTCGCTGTCTTTGAATGAGAATCTAACAGCTGAAAAACATGCAAATGATACATTTTTTAAATATTTTATTGGTTGCACGGCATCATAACAAACAGCTTAAAAATACAGAGTTATCATTTTCACTTTAGAATACTCCAAATAAGTAGTCATTCCTTCTGAAGGATTTGGTAATTACTACTAGGTTACCATGATCTTAAAGGAGTTGTATGTAAGAAATCGATTTCAAATAATCATAAAATGGCCCTGATATGTCACTAGACATTAAGAAATCATGTTAATTTCAAATACCACTGACAACAGTAGTTTAGGGACTTTCTAGAGACCATCGGATTGGACAAAAATCTGTGCTGGGATGAGTCATTAATATTTAAGACTACACCGGAAAAAAAAAAAATGGTGTAGAGGATTTACTTTGAAACTGTCAGAAATTGCTAGTAGATTTCACAATTAATTACAACGACACGGCAAGTGACATATTACTTAAACGTGACATTTTAAAGTAGAATGACAGAAAAAAATAATTCTTGTGAAATATACTCCAATAATCTTTTATTTACAACTAAAACACTAAAAACTTTTTTTAGTGTATGTTTAAATGCCCTTATAATATCAACATTTACGATCATTTAGACCTTTCGTGCTAGAGAAACAAGCATGCAGCCATCTTTAGAATTTTGTGTTTGAACTTCTATGGCATCGCTGTCAGCGAGTAATTAGCCGATGAAGTAGATTTACTCATTGTAGAGTTGGCAAAAGTTATCATGAGCATTGAAATGTTTAGAAGGGATGCCATTGCAAATGTAAGATTTTAAAACAAGCGGTTCATTCATAAATTTGTAAGATCTTACCTTCATGCTGTGAAAACACAAACCGGAATACAGAGCGCAGCGCTGAATAGAGGCAGGGTTACGTCTATAGATGACATCAAAACTAATAGATATGGACTAAAAGCCACATTTTTCTTCTTTTCATGGGGTCTTTGGGGTTTTATTAGGCTATGCTTGGTTATTTAGAGTAATTTCGTGGTTTCACATTATACCACATCACTACCATAGTAGTTTTCCCAATAATGAAAAGCTCATGATTATGTAAGCAGCAGGGGTCAACTCAAATTACGTTGACAGGCCTAGAGAGGTCAACACACATCTCTGTGTTTAACTCTCAGTAACCCTGCAGGCGGTGGAGAATGCCTCTGAATTCCAAGGCTTCATGTTACAGGCTCGAGAGGTGGACAGAAAAACTACAGTGGGACGCGCTTCACATCAATAAATACCGTCCAATCCCGTGTCATGAACTGCTTTAATATAGAGGTGCTTTATTGTTATTTTAAGATGGAGTTAATGTATTACATTGCTCATTCGTATTCATTGCAGACATTTAAATATAAGCTGCTTAAGTGCTAAAAGGAGGCATGAGTCATGGAAACACTCTGGTTTTGGCCCACAGAATTCAACTCTCAGCCAAGCATCTGCAGTCAAGAAATCCCAGTTTGAAGCTACATGGGAAGCACCGACAAACACCTCCCTGGTTGATATTCACTTTTTGTATATATAGCCAAATTATACTTCTCTTAAATTATTAAAACTCCTGGATCATAATTCTCCAATATCTGAATGCCCTTACAGTGTGATATTTGTCAGAGAATATACTGTTTTTTGGACCAGTCCCCTACAAACAACACTACATCTACAACAAGACCATTGGCTGGTTCTCCTCAAACTTTACCAGTGAGTATTAAGAGACATGCTTCTCATTTTCAAATCATCAGAAAAAGAAGAAAAGAAAAAAATATTCAAGCACCTGTCAGAATTCCTGCCACAAAAACACACATTTTAGTGCGATGCAACTCACTGTGATTCTCCTTGCACAAACCTTTACTTCGATAAACCTATTTTGGTAAGTACGTTCTATAGAAACATACTCTGATGTTTTAGATTAAAGGTAATAAAACTTAATGATAAAAGATTAGTATTTATATAGGAATGCTTTAAATATGTAATAAAAGAAATAGCTGGCAACAAAAATGTTTTCGCTTGAATTAAAAACAAAAAGTTCCAGATACTTTCTCTGTAACTTTATTTATCCCTGTTTTTAGTTTTTCTAATTATTCAGTCATTTCAAACATGCAAACAAAAATATTTTTAGAGTTTTAAAAGATGCATCCTAACATTACAGCAGTGTGAAAGACATTTGTGTACAAAGAAGGACTAACAACACACATTAACTTACAGCACTAACAATGGGTTAATTATAGGATATACTAAACAAGTTCTGAATACTCTGGCAGAACAACAACGACATTTTGACTATGTACCTCAATTCAGTTACATGAAGGGCAAATTCACAGTCTCTAGTCTAGTAGAAGCTAGATGAGGGAGGGAAGATAGTAAAACAAGGAACAAAGAGATTTCTTATTAACATTATTGGAAGTACAGCATGTTGTTTTGTACTTTAGACTGTAGCTCAGGGTGGTGATGTGTCCTCAGACCTGTTAAAGTAAAGAACACACAACTTTGCAGAGGATCTCTGCTCACAGGTCATGAAGAATCTCAAGCACAGCGGCAAGAGACCAGGCCTGAGTTTCACAGCTAAAAGGACAATACTGGCCATTCTCATTAGTGAGCTCTGGCAGTCCCTTCCAGGATGACCTGAGGAACAAAACAGATATATCAGATCCAGCATAAGATTTAATCATCTGTTTTTATAATCATTTATGGTTCCATTCACATTTAAAACGGTCAGCATTTGTTGGAACCGCATTTTGAGGACTACAGTAATATTGAAATTACTCACTATAAATTGGATTATTGAAGAGGTGTTTATTTTTACAAATTACCATCTCATTTGCTGCATTTCAGTTTTTTTTAAAGTAATATTTGCAGTATACCAGCAATTAGTTGTGGCCCGAGTAATTCAAAAAATCAATTTTGTTTAACAAAATAATTAAGAGAAAATACTGTTCACTGCTTAATTGTTCATGCGATGTACCGTTCCATGTAGATATAATGGCGAGAGAGGACATTCTTCACCAAATACACTGTTTTGTCATAAGCGTCTTTGCCCAACTTCTTAGCAAAGTAGATTTTTGCGCGGAGGAAGAAACCGATAGGCCAGAGCCACTCCTGACGAGGGTAAATGAACAGAAAGGTAAGTGATCCCTTAGACTGAAAAGCTGAAAATGTGCTGATGAACTAAGTACATTTATGGCTCTTACAGGGCCTTGATGGTAGTTGAATCCCCTGGCAACGTTGTGGTTGTCATTGTCCAGAGAATTGTCATAAACGCCACAGTAAACCATGTCACTATTCAAACAAATGATCTTGAGTCACTCACAGGAAGCAGGAATAATGGTTATGCAGTATAATTCATGTAAGCCGGTAGGAGAACATGGACTCTGATCTGTGTTGTAAAAAGCGCTATATAAATAAAAAAATGTGACTCTCACTCTGGGTCTAAGGTCTTCATCCCAAGAGGTCCAAGCAGTTTCTCTTCTGTAACATTCAGTGCTTCCCAAGCGCGCTCCACAGTAAACAGCTCTGGAGCCTGGAAAACGAAAGCATTAGAAATATACAAATTACAAACTATACATGTTTTAGTAACTAACCAATAATTTGCTCCCTATATTTGATTTTCACTGGCACATCTGAGCATTATGGCATTTTTTTCTTTCCCATATAAAAACTAAGCAAGTCACCCATTTAAAGGGACACAATGCAGGGATCCTGTTTTTGTCAAACAGCGACCCCTAGAGTCGCTGTGGAGGACTGTCGTAAATACCACTCACGCAGAGCGAGACATGGCGAGAAGTGTTACATAGTATACAATAGTACATTGTGTTTAATTTGTCGTTTAATGAGATCTAATATAATATAAAGAGATCTAATAATAATATGTTGTTAGTGGTGAGAATTTTCACATGATTAAATACATAGATCAGACTATTATCCC